TCTCTCTCTCTCTCTCTCTCTCTCTCTCTCTCTCTCTCTCTCTCTCTCTCTCTCTCTCTCTCTCTCTCTCTCTCTCTCGGCAAGTTTTATCAATGTTTTGATTGATTCATTACAGAAAAGCAAGTCGAGCATTGGTTTGAGGCATATCTTTTATGTTATACAAAAGGAAGAGAAGAAATGGTGGACTAGATTAGTTAAGCAGCAAGGAAAACCGCCCATATTCCTGAAGGTGGATTGGGATAAATGGATTGATGAAGACGATGAGAAGGGAGGTTAGTATTAGATGTCAAGTTACTATAATTTTGGAATAGGATTTTTTGTTTTTTTTTTTTAATAACTTAGTTTTATCAACATTACTCTTACATTATCTGGGTTATGACGGATTCCCTCTTTGTGTGCAGCTGACATGGACTTTGGAGACATGGATTTCTCGGTATGTGATGCATTAACTGTTAACAAAGGTTTCGGATAAGTTTTGTTGATTCTTTATATTTGAGTGAGTTTTGCTGATTCTTTATATTTGAGTGCACAACCTCAAGGTTATGACAGAGCACTTTCCATTTGAGCTATTTGACCTTCATATGTTAACTTTTTCATTCAATTTACTTTTGTTGGTTTTTTGGGTTTAGAGTCTTGAGCTCTTAGAGAAAGTGTATTTAGTCTAATTTTATTGTGGATTTTGGGTTAGATGTTGAACATGGGATGCCACTAATCTCGGGCCCTTTTTCCTCCGCTCTTGGGTTTGTATTGTTGGATTCGTGGAGTTGAAAGAGAGTCTGTAATTTCTAATATTCAGGGTATACATATAAGAACATGTACTACTGACATCTGAACTTCAGATTGTCCTAGGGCCCCTAAAATGTTGAATTCATGGAGTTGAAAAAGAGTCTGTGATTTCTATAATTCAGGTTTCTAGTATTCAGGGTATACGTATAAGAACATGTACTAAAACATCTGAATTTCAGATTGTCCACTTGCCTAACTCTACAGAATTTCGAGTGATATTTAAGTTGGCCTGCTGCCTGGTTTAATTTAGGAGAATTTTGTCCTTGAAATCTACAATTAGGGTGCTATCTAGAGTTTCTAGGGCCTGTTCTAGTGTCAGTGAATCTTGTTGCAAAGTTTGGGGTATCATTTGGTTGATTAGGATATGAGCACTCTCCTCTGAAGTTCATACTCTAGTGTCTGAGATTATTGATCTGAGCTTCAGATTTTTAGGGTTTTATGATATGGATGGCTGTCTAAATATCGTGGGTGCAAATTTTATATCCTGGGAATTGGGCTTGATTTGTAGCCTGGAGTTGAAACAAACTCAAGAAGGGATCTGACCTTGCTTCAGGCATACCATTTCATTTTATATGGGTATGTCCTACAATGAATGTAATAATCATGGTCTCCAATCTAATTGTTTTTCGTGCAGAAACTGGACATGGGTGGGGATGATTATGATATGGATGATACTCTTATCGATGATGAAGGTTAGCATTTGTAACCCTCCATCATCAGCAAGTTTTTCTTTTCATTTTTTTTTTTCTTTTTTTTGTTTATTCTTTTCATTGCATCTCTATGCATTTTTCATACTATTCAATTGCTGCTTTGGCCCTTAAGATTTTCTTAAGGCAGCAAATGTGCTTGCCTTCATCTCACTGTTTTTTGTATTATTTTTGGTCGTTAGAATTTCAGAATAGTTGTACTAAAACAACTTGGTGGGTGTAACAACTATTCTTTACAAATAATGGGGAATCGCAAAATTTGGAAATGTGTGAAAGAAAGAGAGAGTGTGTTATGTTTATATACTTAAGGAATTTTGGGAGAGAATCTTATGTTTATTTACTTTGTAGTTTTTTTTTTTTTGGGGAAAGGTTTCTATACTTCTCCAAGAAGATCAATGCTTCCCCTACCATCCAGCCGTCCAATTTTGATCAAGAGAGCCACTCACCATTTGATCTTAGATCTGACGTCTCAAAGTATTTTATTTTTAGTTTTTTTTTTACATATTGTATGAATATGAAATTTGGTACGTGCTATCTTCGCATTGGGTGCACCTATAAAAAATATTAAAAATAATTTTTCGATAAATATAACGACCAAAATACCCCTTTAAACTTTCAGGGGTATTTTGGTCATTTTATTTTATTGGAAATATTTTTTTAATAATTTTCGTTAGTGCAAGTTTAATAGAGGATTGGACGTCTAAAATTTGGTGTCAAAATAGTCTATAGAAAAAAATAAATAAATAAAATAGTGTAGAGACGTGACATTGTGATTGGGGCAATCTTAGCCGTCCATTCAGAATGGACGGTTGAATAAGGGGAAGTATACAAGTTTTATGCTGTAGGGGATGTAGGGGAAGCATAGAAAGCTTGCCTCTTTTTTTTTTTTTTGTGGTTAGATCATTTTGGATTACAAGCCCCTATATGTTTTGGAAATAGTCAATTTTTTGAAGGAAAAAGTTTATAGAAGGATGGTGCCTTATAATGTAGAACTACGGATGAAAAGGTAGTTTTAATGTTGAAAAAACCTTTGATTGATCATCTCGACATCAAGATGTATGACTAGAAAAATAAAAAGATTTTAAGTCCAAGAAATATTGCATTTTACAACATATTATCTAACCTTCCATTTTCAAGATTTTCATATGTTTATAGATCAACTTGATTTTAACCATTTTTTAAATTTAAAATTTTATAATTAAATATAAAAATAGATTTTGAGATAATGCTCTGAACATTTTATATCAAAATTATATACCATGATAAAAATTGAAGGGCACCGTACCTCTAGACCTACGGGGGTGTCCGTATGCCAACTGCACCTTTCTTTTAAAGTGTTGGTGAGAATGGGGGTTTTGACCTTTTAACTGAGTTCAGATGGTACTACCACCACGACCCCAGCCCCATTCTCAATTTACTTCATAGAATTGAGGGAGACGAGAGAGAGAGTTTTATGTTTATATTCTTAGTAGAATTGCGAGAGAGAGAGAGAGTGAGAGAGAGGGGTTTATATACTTTGTAGAATTGTGTATTTATGGTGTGTTGTTGAGTAACTTTGCAGAGAAAGAGGAAGAAGGGGCGGCGATCAAGAAGGAAGAAGCCGCTTCAGCAAGTGATGAGAAAGCTTAAACTCTATGGTCTCTGTGTAGGAGGAAGAGGCCAGAAGCAAGCAGCCTGATAATGACTGGTTACTTTTTGCATGCTCTGATTGTCTAACTGCAGCACAGCCTTTAGTTGTGGTGCTATGTAAAGATCATAAATTTTGTATGAAATATTTTGAACTCTCAGATGGTTCATTTGTGGATTTTTGTGCCTCTGAAATCTTAAGGGTTTTAACTTTCCAAATGCCTGAACTTTCCTCAAGGGGGGGGGGGTAAAATACTTTGAAACTTTTAAGTAGTTTTACCTGTAAAGGAAAATGTATATCATTTTTGTAGATTAATTTTCCCTTTACAAGGCAGAGAAATTGGCTAGAAATTTGTCCAACTAATATTTGTGCTGCTGCTTTCTTTGTGTAAATCCTTGTAACATAACTCGGTAGGAGCAGTTTTATAATGTAAAAAGTTTATATGAAGGCTGCAATCTTCTACTATGGAAACAAGGTGCATTTCAAAAAATTAACAAAAAAAAAAAGGAGTATTTTGAAGATTACTTTTCTAATTGATTATCTCGAGAAAATAAATTCATGCCTTAAAAATAATGTATTTCATATATGAACCGTTTTATTACTTTTTATTTTAAGGTTTTCAAGTGTTTTGGATTTGTTTGATGCAACCTTTCAATTGATTCAGAGGTGTGTTTTACTTGTATGATATAAGATGGGTATTTTATATATTGAAAAGTTTATATAAGGTTTTACGTTTACAACTTAAATTGTAGAATTAAGATGTACGACCCCATTGAAAAAGGCTGTTTTAATGTTGGAAATTCATCCAATTGAGAAAGGCTGTTTTAATGTTGGAAACTCATCCAATTGAGAAAGGCTGTTTTAATGTTGGAAATTCATCCAATTGAGAAAGGTTTCTATAAGCTTTGTGCAAAGCAGCTCACCATTTATTTGGGCTGGGTTTGTATAAGGCATCAGGTTTAAATAATTTAAGCAAGGCCCATCCTCAAACCTTATCAGAAGATGCAATGAATTTCTACAACGGTTTATCTTCTGTTCCTAAGTATAAAAATTATAAGATACTTTTCTTTCAGCATTTTTTTTGTTTTCTTTTTTTACATTTGTACATCTCAATGCCCACATGATTAATTAAGGTCGAGAAGATTCGTCAGAACAAGCTTTACCAATGAGCATTCGACGTGCATGTTCATTTTATAGCATACATCGTTGACTTTATAGCATACATTGTTGACGCTTTATATAAATTTTCTCATTATATTTAGGGGTAAGGTGCACTTTCAAATTTTATCATATATAATTTTGATGAAAAATGTTCTTAGGATTATCTCAAAATCTATTTTTATATCTAGTTATAAAATTTTCAATTTAAAAAATGGTTAAAATCAAGTAGATCTATAAACATATGAAAATCTTGAAAATGGGCGGTGTAGATAATATGTTGTAAAATGCATTAATTCTGAGACTTATTTTTTTTTATTTTTCCTAGTCATATATCTCGATGTCGAGATGATCAATCAAATGGTTTTTCAACATTAAAACTACCTTTTCCGATGGATTTTTTAGGGGCATCCCTAGTTCTACATAAAGTAGCATCCTTATAAAAACTTTTTCCATATATAAAACGTGTGCTATTTCACTATGTGAAATGTGACATGCCAAAGCCCACACAAACCACCACAAATGAAATTTACAAGTTTGGATCCACAAAATTTTAGAAAAATTTTCTACGCTTAAAGCAATTGTCAGATGTCGGATTTTATGGCTGAGATTTTAGGGTGGTTTACTTTTTTTTTTTTTTTTTTTGGTAATACAATGGGGATGACGAGCCCCTGCTCATTTTTTTAAACCGTTGGTTTTTTTAATGCGTAAGGTGAGAATGAAAACCTAGATCTTAACTAAAGTGAGACATAAGTAATGCTACCACACAACCCCAACCCCATTCTCAATTGGTTTTACTTTCTCGTACCAATGTAAAAATGTTTTGTTGAGTCATCATGATTAGAGCCTTTTTTTCAAGTTACTAGAACATTTCTATATACATGCAACAGGGTAAATTTTAACCTGGATATAAAGCAACTTTCTTACGAATACTTCTTAAGATCATGATATGATGCAAGGAGATCGTAATCTCATTAGCTTTGTAAAGAAAAGTCAAATAATATTTATTAAATCACTATCATCATCATCATCTGAGTTTTATTTTAATTGTTTGAGAATGGTTACATGAATTTTATTTTATCTTAAGGGCTATACCCTTAGACATACCATGAGTCACCATATCGTTTCTCACTACTTTCATTCATGTCATTTGAGGTTTTCCCCTTACCCTTTCAAAGCTTTTAAATAACATTGTCATTGAGTACTCTCTTAAATTTCTATTAAATGGTAATGGGTCTCGTAAATTTCTACTAAATGGCTACATTTTAAAAATCGACCTGTGGGTCACACCCGTCACCCACCCGATAATGACCTGAAACTAACTTGGCTTGGCCAACTTACAAAAAAATGATAATAAAAGTAAAACAAAAAAATGTACACAAGATTTAAGATGTTTAAATAAACTTCAGGAACCTTAAATCTTCCTCAAGATAGTGGTTTAAAAAATAAAAATATTTTTTTAAATACAATCTTTTTGTTAATATGGTGGAGTCTTGAGTTGGGGATAAGAATACTGCAGCTAGTTGCCTGTTCTGGTTCGACTCAAGCAATTCTAGTAGCCGCCTGTTCCGGTTCGACTCGAGCGGTTCCTTCTCAATTTCTGTAACTGGTGAACAGTGTCACATAATGCGTTCCAAAATTTCTACCATATACATCAAGTTCATAGTATTGGATAATTTCCAAATTTGGAGCTGGATATAGAATCATGGTACAGAAAAGTAGACATTGTTGACCATCGTGTTCGAAAGCTCACAGGTCAGCCTCTGTACACAATCCAAATAAAGTTAAGCAAAGTCTGCCATTTTATTTTCGAATTGTACGTTATGAGGGCCATTTGTTTTTTTTTACAAAATCACAATGGCTACTAATCATTAGATGTCAAATTGAATAGCTTGAGTTGTATCACAAAGATTTTTTTTTTTTTTCTTATACTTTGAATTTAATCATTAACACACTCACAACCACCTAATTTGAAATATAACAGACTTAAACCTCTTTGCATTAAAAGTAAATGGTCTCTCTATATAATTTAATTTTACATCTAATCTCGTTTTTCCATACCGTTAAAAAAGTCTTAACTATTACATTCTTGGAAAATTTAATATAATCTCCTGGAAAAGGTGCATCTTGTTACACATTTTATTCAAAATTCAATAAATTCACCATGCAACTACTAGTAACCCAACCACCCATTTGTTAATTAGTCTGATAGGAAACCATAAACGCAGAAAATTATGGCTCAAGGACCCAAAAGAGGTCCAGTTTGAAGTTATTATCCACAGTTGTTGGTGTCTGGCTTTTGGTTACGAAAGAAAGAAAGATTTGGAATCTCGCAAACTTAACCATCTCCCACAATGTTAAGATCAAGCCAGTTCCGTTTGGTAGATGCTGTCCTCCAATTAGTTGGTGTTTTAAGCTATATTTTCATAAAAGCTCGTTTGGGAACCCAGGGGAAGCTGGAATTGGAGGCATCCTAAGATATTGGAATGGGGCAATTATCTTTGCCTATTCTGGGCCGATAGGTATTGCTATAGCTAACATGGTAGAATTATCGGCTGTACTTTTTGGTCTCAGGTTTTCTAAACAAAAAAACAAATCTAGGATTGAATTGAATAGTTGAAGGGGACACCTTATATATGATTGCGCTATATACATAACATGATTAAGACATTTTTCCAAAGGCTACAGCACCACTACTTCTGGTACAAAGAGGTCGCAACTGCCTATAACCGTCTTACTTCTGGTACAAGGAGGTCACAACTGCCTATAACCGTCTGATGTGAATTCTAAATGTCACAAAGTTGGAAAAAAAAATTCTTGTGAATTTTGAACCTGATCAATAGAACAAATGCAGCCAGTCAAATCTTTCATCCAATGGCCAAAGATTAATTGTGACCACGTATCAAATATAAATGTTCACACCATATATTTTTCCTGTCCAAATAGAATGGTATTTTAGAATGCAAAATGCCACTTTTTAGCAGTGCTTAGAACCATCACACAACTGCAAAGGCAAGAGGGAGACGCCAATCAGTGGTGCATTGACCTCCAACACAATGGATTTGGTCAAACGGTGGATTTCAACCTGTTCCAAAAGGACTATGAACCAATTTAAAGAAATAAGCAAAATGAATGCATATATATCACAAAACATGAATGCACAAATATCACAAAACCGCGTAAAAAGGACGCATAGGTCATGTGAGTGCTTGATGAATTAAAGAGCCAGTGTTCATCTAAATATTTACTGCAAAAAATAGCGCCTACAAACTCAACTCAAAGATTGTGAGTGCCTTAGAACACGCACACACATAGATCATTGACCAGGCAAGCATGCGCCTCACATGTGACCTGCAAACTGACTTAAGGTTATGTGGGCTGATATATTGGCCGTTAATATTATACGAAAGAATTCAAGGATGCCAATCTTCAGTTAGAAAATGAGTACCCCATCACTGGGTAGTCACACTTTTTGCAAGGTTTCTTGGCTGGTCTACATCATATCCGCGCAGAACAGTTAAGTGGTAAGCCAGCAGCTGCCAACAAATTAAGCCACAAATGAAAGCTAAATTTGAGGAAGAATAAAGATCATTAAAATAGCAGTTAGGGATTTCAACATTAATTGCATAGTTTGAAACTTCAATATGAAAACACTGAGGTAATGGTACGCAGATAAGCCCCAACTACTGATGAAATGGCAGAAGGCATAAGTGCAATGGCTAATAAATGGCAGGGGAAAACACATCAAAATTACACATAAGAAAAGATTCATGAAACTTCCACAAAAATAAACATTCATAGGAAAACCTAATGAAAAGAAAACATGTTTGCACATACATGAAACCCCTAGAAAAATATTTGTATTTCTCAGTTCTTTCCAGTTTTGTGGCTGCCCGTGCGATTCAAGATTCATATGTTTTGATTCCTTTAACAGGCCCCATGAATAAGCGTCAAATCTTATGCAGCTCTTCTGTTCTCAACCATATCAGACTGCCACTTCTCTTTGGATAGGAGTACCTGGCAAAGGGAATTACTTCCAGAGCACATTCCAGGTACAGCGCATGGCATTTAGGGGTATCCCCTCTATGGTTACCTGCCAATGTTGCCTTACACCCAACACCCACAAGCTTTAAGATTACTTTGGCAGCTCCATGAAAGTTTAGCATTCGCACCGCCATTTACACCATTACACAATGTACACTTCTAAAGATACGTTGACACATACATCTGAGAGACCTGTTGATACATATTTTGGTCAAGGAGGTGGTCATTGTTTAAGGCATTCCTTGCCTTCTCTATTTCTCTTCTAGGTTAGCTTATTATGGGGTGGAAGTTTATCCTGATTTGGGTAAAATCATCCTGGTGGGGTGTTGATATGAAGCACTGCAGTAGTTCGTACTTTTGCATAACCGAATAAGGTAGCATGCTGTTATATTATAAATACGAAAATTACATTTCAGCAGATCTTTTCACATGGCAGAATACAATACAAAGTGTGGTTTACTAACTAAATAAGGGGACCAATTTGGCCACTCTTTTAATAATCAACCAAACACTGTGGGTGGCCCATCCAATGACTTCCATATTGCCAACCATATTTTGGGCAGCAGAACCAAGAACTGGAGGTGACTAATTAAAAAAGTGACTAAAGCCTCCACATCAGTATAGACCTAAGGTAATGAAAACTCAGACCACAAGTTTTTTTTTTTTTTCTCTCCTTAAAATATAACTAAGCTAGGCCCACTCGCTATAAACAACAGAATCATCGAGTTAGCTGTTTATTGCAATACACCACTCTCTCCCAAAGGTTCAATTATTAGTTCCATTCATCTCAAATGACAAACTAGAAAAGCCAAAACAGGATATTACAAACTACCATGAAAATTATGAGCAAAAGGCAACAGTAGCCACCATCACATTTGAGTTTAGATATAGCACTAGTAACTATAGATGCCATATTTACATGTAATTTCTACATTCATATAATTGGTTCTTCAACTGCACAAATTGCCCCAACCAAGCACCAGCCAACCATGCATTTGTCTTTCCAATCAGTCAAATATTGACCTCTAAAGTATTCATACCTCACTAAATCTATATATTAAGTAGAAAGGAAAAGAAGTCTGATGCTTGTTATTCAACACAGCATCAAAAGAGGAAAAGAAGTCTGGTGCTTGTTATTGAACACAGCATCAAAAGAAAATTCCATTTCTAATATTGAATGCTTAGCGAAAACAGCAAAGTTCTCAGTTTTGAATTCACAACAAAAAAGGAAATTAAGCATGGTTCTTGTTAAAATGCATAGTATGAAAAGAAATTTGTATTATTCTGCTGTTGAATGTTTAGCCAAAACAGCAAGTTTTCATTTTTTAATTCAATTTTGGGGTTGCTATTATTTTCAAAAATGTCGAGAGAGAGAAGGTGAAAGCTTAAGTCGTGGATACTTTCGGGGCTTCTATTATATTTTCCAAAAATGATTGAGAGATATATATATCAGAAATTACAGAATAGAGAAAGGAAGATAAAATTCGATAATGTAATCATTATATCTATTTGTCAAAAATTGGGAATTTGGGTATGGAATTTGTACCCATTGATGTTTATAGGCTTTTTTGTAGGATTCATCAGGGAGAAGAATCTTACATGTCATAAAACGATTCTGGACATGTCAGATTTGCTGTCTATGTAGCGAAGGATCCTCTTTCCAAGATTCTTGACCATGAAATTCTGGCTAATATGACACGTCATGGGAGAAGAATCCAACACACCATGAGAACAGTCTGGACTTCAGATTTTCCATGTCCAGGTTACAGAATTCTTGAACATGGTGAATCCGTACCCATACCGATGTCAATATTTCCACGACATATGGGACCCTTATTGAAGAATCCATGTAGCATAGTTACGACCAGAACAGATTAGCCAGTTCGAACTGGAAATCATTGGTTCTACTTGTCGGACTGGGGTCTCCCAAACTGGTAGGACCATCGAACTAGAGAACCGGCCAATTCCATACTTGGACCAATAGGTGTGACTAAATTCAAATTGAATTGCCAGGTCTTTATATGGGGGTCTAAAATGACTAGAAATGACCACATTTTTTTCATTTTTGGGTCAATTTTCATCAATTCTAGGTCTGTTTTTCATCACTTCTAGGTCTGCTTTTCATCCTTTTAAACTTTTTATGGGCATTTAGGTCCTTTTAGTATTTTAGGGGGGCTTAGGTGTTTAAAATGTCGTTTTTTAAGAGAGAGCTACTTTGGCAACTCTCTCTCTCCCTCTCTCTCTCACAACCCCCAAATCCTTGATGTATATTGCCAACTTTGGAAGAGAATTCTGACCACCAATCCACCATATTACAAGCACCAAGTTCATTACAACCTTTTTTTTGTTTTATATTTAGCAAAATTAGGAAAAGGAAAATGGAGTTTTAGGTTTTTGCAAAGGATGAATTTTTTTTACAAATCAATGCAATAGGTTGTTTCTTGAAATCAATTTAATCGTTATTTTTTCCTTAAATAGTTTAATGTTGTATTTTTGCTGGCCCATTCGCAGTTTTAGGATTCATGTAAAGCTTTGGCAAAGTTTTACATTGGTTGCCTACCTAACACAACCCACCGCCTTTATCTGGCTCATTTGCATTTGTTTATATAAATGTAAAGCTTTTTTTTGGTTTTTTTGTTTTAGTTGACTTTCTTATTTTATTTTTTTGGTTCTTTAACACTTAAATGGAAATATTGATCTTACTGGATGAAAATTGTCCATAATGCGGATTTTGTGTATTTCCAGTTTTCTATTTTATGTGGAAAATTGCTTTTTATACTTTTTAGTTGTTTAATGCTTAAATGCATCTAGTGAAAATTTATGGAATTATTTTCATAGTTAGGATTTTGAATATTTTGTATTTCCAGCTTTATTTATACTAATATTATGCGATCATATGAATATTTGATTTTTCGCTTTTTCTTTTCAATTTCTCTGTTTTTCTGGATTTTTTTTTTTTACCAGTCTAACCAGACAATCTTTCCAATTCAACCACTCAGACCACCAACCAAACCGAGGCTACCAGCGGTTTGACAACCGGTCCGGTCTTCTTAAAATTGATTCTAAAATTCTATCCCATATCAGGCAAAAACAGCTTGTAATAGAGAAAGGCTAGACAATCAAATGGATATATCATGGCACAAGCTACAGTCAGTCTTATAACTGCTAACTCATCATGGACAGAATCCTAGTGAATCCAAATACTTCAAATTGTTGTAAACAATAGAAATAGCAATAGTATATTACTTTAACTCACAGTAATAGTATTCTACTGTAGAAAACCATATTCAATTGGAGTCAATGACCATGATTGACGGTGATAGAGAGAGGGTGGACATGGCCCCGACGATAAGTCCAACTCAACATCCATCATTCTATAATTTCATAAGTTAACCATGACCTCTCCCCTCTGAAGGGCCCCCACTCTATCTTCCATAGTCCATTGGACTGGTATACTTTCGTTTAAAAATATGAACCAAAGTTAAATGTAAGTATATTACCTGCAAAGGAATGATATTGATAACAGGTTGAAGGCAATCCTCAACTTGAGGCACTTCAATAACTCGACAGGATCCACTAGGGCATACTAAAGAAGCCTCTCCTTTTGAACACATCACTATCAACCGACCTTTACGAGCATGAAGTTGTTGGATAACTGATTGCTGCTTGCTGTTAGGAAATCAAGACAGTGAGTACAAAGCAAAAGCCAATGGCCTACTAATCTTTATTGCTCTAAGAAAGAAGTAATTACCTGAAGCAATTATCGTGGGTAGCGATAACAACAATTGGTAATGTTTCATCAACTAATGCCAAAGGACCATGCTTCATCTCCCCTGCAAGTATTCCTTCACTGTGCATTAAAGCCACTTCTTTCACTTTGAGTGCACCTTCTAAAGCTGTCGCATAGTTATAGCCACGGCCAAACACAAGAAGAGACTGCTCGTCCATCAATAGTTTTGCAAGATCCTTCATTTCATCATCAAGTTTCAATACCTCTCTAACTTTGTCTGCCAAAAGAAACATGACAAAATGCCATTTCCATGCCTTGGTCAATAAAAAGGCAATGTTCCCTTCCAAGTATCAGAAACCACATCAGTTGAAATTTCAAAATGTTTTTAGGTATGACAGAACCTTTATATTGTCCATTCGATCAAGTTGAGGATAAGGCATGTTTCAATCTTATAGTCAGTGTTACACCGACACTCCTACATGGGGCTTGGTGTCACGTTCGTGTTGACACTTTGACACATGTCAACATGGGGTGACACTGTACACTACTAATTAGAGAAGGTCACCGAAGGCTTTGAACATAAGACTTAGTGGTAGGATGTGACGAAACTAACCACTCCACCACTTAATGTTATGTGTAACCCGAGTGTACATTACATTATATGACTATGAGAGAATAAATTAAATTATACGAAGGAAAAATGTTTTGGAAAGCTTGACATAGAGCTCAAACGTGCACCCCAATGCCTAGGGATGGTGGAGACTGCCACTGCACCGCTTAACTATACATTTAATAGCTAAGGAAATTTCTATCATATGAAGTTATCTAGATTGTTTTAATTGAGTAGTGTTTGTATGACATGTTTACTGCACTAGCTTTTTATATTGCTGTACTAGATACTTTTAACATACTAGACAAGACACTCGTCAAGTAACATAGCTTATGATCCTTTATTTCTGTCAAAATTGGCAACTCCTTATGAAATTCTAGGCCTATATCCAATCATATATATCATTTTTATTGTATATATATATACATATGGGCAGTGATTTCATGCAACTGCTGTATTGTAATATAATGCAACCACACTT